TCAGCGAATCGGCCCGGCCGAAAACGGGTTATGATTGGTCAGTCCTCATGCACATGCGCAGATTATCGTTCTCTTTCCTTACTCCTGGAAGAACGGTTCAGAGTGCAAATGGTTTCTTTGTTGCTAATCTGTAGGGAATATCTACATGAAAGTTCTACAGAAAGTAGCAACGGGCCCTGAGAAATGTCGCTAAGTTTGTCGCTAGGCGCTTTTTGGAAAAAAAGTCGTTGAGGGGGGTCAAAAAGTCGTTAGGAACAGTGACAAAGTCGCTGAGTTGGCAACACTGATCCCAATTTTATCCTTTTGAGTAAAAACATTCTGCCATAAAATCTGCGATTTAGACAGAATTGTTAAAATTAGCAAAAAAATTCTAAGTTTTGATTTATTTTCTAGTTTTAAGAATTCTAGACAAGCTTATTTTGCCCTCCCCATTGGCAGATATTTTTACTCAAAACAATATTTGGATCATATGAATATTTACTTTATTTTAAGTAATGCTTAAAGTAATGCTATTTTAAGTATTGCAATTTTAAGTAATGCTATATTTCTAGGGATGAATTTTTTTCTTTGTAGACAAAAAAAAGCTAAAATGTCTAAAAATGCTTGATTAACCTTTGTTTATTCCTTAAAAATACGTTTTTACAGTGCATTATTTTATATGCAAGAGTTTTGGTGGAAATTCCCAAAGCTAACTGTTAAAACTTTACACATACATTAGGACAGGCTATCATTAAACATATTTAGGATCAACTATAAAGACAATTTTCTTCCAGAAACAACAAAATTAAACACAACTGGTTTGGACTGGACAGACTGTCCTTCAGTCTTTGTTTCAGGCATGACACCGGTGTCTCTGTGTGTGAGACAGGAAAATCTTAGCACACTGCTGCTGCCTTTAAAGCAACACGGTAATGAAACAACAGCAGGTCAGTCAGTAGATCAGCAGACGGTTGTCCAGGAGCCTTTAGGATGGAGGGCTGTAAGCAGCAGCAATAGAAGAGTTTCGTAAAAAATAATCATCCTGGTCTTCAGCCCGACAATTAAAGGCAGGGCTACTGGATAGAAAAGATTCTAGATAAACAATTCAGTTAATAAACAAACTGGTTCACCACACAGACTGACTGACTATTTTAAGTTCCCCCGAGTACTTTCAGAAAACCCCTTTTATGAGAACTTTAAAGAACCTTCAGATTTGCTGAGGGGGGATAACTCTTCTATCAACCCGCATCATCATGCTCTTAGCAAAGCAACAAATGAGCTGTAGAAGAAGGAAGGGTGAAGAGACTGAGCAGATAAACCAAGAAGATGAGCAAAGCCACAAGAAAGGTAAATTCAAAACCGTATCTCCGTCATCAGTTTGCAACAGTTCAGCAAACAGGAAAACTAAGAAAGCTGGCGTGAATCTCACCATGGATGCTTCTGGTCTGACAGCCAGAATGAGCTCCATAATTTGCTGGAACAAAACAATGTTCTATTCCACTCATACTGGAGACAGTAATGTCTTTATTCTTCAGAAGATGTGGGGTAGGGCTCACTGGTGCATGCTGAGAAGCAGCGGCTTTAAGCCTTGTTGAACCACTGTTGGAGCGGCTGGTGCGGAGGTCATGATTGGGCCAGCCCAATTAGAGATAGATCCTGGGTGTTTAATGAGGAGAGGGAATGAAAGGGTTGCCAAATACTCTGCACCACGTTGTACCTAACACAACCTGATACTGGGAGGATTCTGCTTGATTAACCTTTGCTTATTCTTTACTGGGGACATTTTCAAAAGGGAGACTATTAATTAGCGCTTGTGATGTTTGAACTAGAGTTCATTTTGACAAGAAATTTAAATTTGTTTTATTCTTAGGGCTGGAATATACTTTCTGTTTAACCTTCTGTTGGTGCAGGGAGCACTTATTTGTTGCTGCACTGCAATTCATGTAGTACTGATGTTAGAAGACACGTTACTGTGACAGAGTAGATTTTGTTCAGTTTTACGGACACCGAGCTAAAATCTGAGAATTCTCCCTAAGACAGACCTTTAACTGGCTATGTAGAATAGCACAAGTTGCTTTCAAGGCTCCATAATTTCTCAATTTGGGATTATCTTGATTTTAAAGTGGTCCCAGAATAAATGTATTTCTTTTCATTTATTGATTTATTTATTTTTACATTTGGAATCTGTTTGAGCCTCTGTATAGCATACACAACTTTGTAGCTGTGGCAAATGGCCAAATATATCCCCATAAATAAAGCCCTACAGTGGCGGAAGCCTTGGCTTTCCCCACCCATTCGATCAGGACATGAATATTAAATTAGCTGTGTGCTGATTGGCTGGTTTACCCTGATTGCTTTATGACAGCCTGAAGCTAACAGTAAAATACAGTATGTGCATATCTCAAGCTGTGGATCTAACTGTCATTCAGTTAAAGTCTGTATATTCCTAGTATGGATTATATCTTAGAACATTATGTGCGTGCTCCGACATTCTTCTTTTGTTTTTTTGTTCGACAAAAGACGTTAGCAATAGCCACTCGGCTTTCGCACAGTTTTGGAAAGACAGCAGCAGTTTTGTTAATAATTTCTTGTTTGTTACCACCTAAATGTTTTCTTCATAATTGCAATTTGTTAATAAAACACCATACAAATTCAAATTAAATTCATATTCAAAGATACTTTATTAATCCCAGAGGGAAATTAGCGGGCTTCCCCCAACGCTTTATAAGTCAAAGCCTGGCGGGCCGCATATATATATATATATATATATATATATATATATATATATATATATATATATATATATATATATATATATATATTAGGGCTGGGACTTGATTAAAAATTTTAATCTAATTAATTACAGGCTTTGTAATTAATTAATCTCAATTAATCGCATTTTAATCGTTCAGGAAAATGTGCTCTCAAAGTAAAACTTTTAATTAAAATTATGAGTCAGAGAATCAAACATTAGACATGGTTATTACTGTAAACTAAAGCTTTTAATAAAAAAATGCATTTTAATTATTCAAATGTCACTGTGTGATATGAAACAAGACCCAAATCAACAAAAATTTATAATTACAAATAGAAAACACCTGCAAAGGGTTCCTGAGCCTTTAAATAGTCTCTCTGTCTAGTTGAAAAACTGAAATAAATTTGACTTTGCACCAGATTAATTTTTTAAGTTTCACTTGTTTGTATAATTGGGAGTTTTTATTAGCATTTCTACTCATAATGTAGTAAAAACACACAAATAATAATCCCTCAAAATGACAGTAGAACAGGCACAAATATGATCTAGGACTTAAATGTACTAACTTTTAACACCAGAGCAGGCGTGACATATTCTGAGAATGATCAGGAACACTAACTGGTTCCAGTTGGATGACTGGAGGTTGATGGGAAGATAAAAGATCATGGCGAGGAAATGATGATCTGATGAACAGGTGAGCGGACCTTCCTTACATGGGAAGTCCTGATGTCACGTTAAGAAGGGGATGCTGCAGACCCGCAGATTCACGCCTGCTGCAGCGAATCTGTTGTGATCTCCAGCCTGATCACAACTTCCTCGTTCCTTGCTGCCCCTGATGCACTTAAGCATCCGCCCCTTAGCTGATGACAGCTTCAACACACCTCGCTGCTTAATGATAGTAATGCATGTGATGTTTAGACAGTGACTCGTCTCAGAATTGTTTATCAGAAAAGTTTCAGAGTGTTTCTGTTTTAACTTAAACTTCTGTTTTCACCTTAAAGACACGTTGTTTGTGATTGTTTACAGAGTAGTAAGAACACGGAGCGTTCTCCTAGCGGAAGCCAGGTGCCTCTCGTTTGTCTAACTACTTTCATAAACTACTGTTAGGGCACATAATTATTCTGTCTGGTGCTTTCAGCGCTGCACAGATGTTACGTAAATGTTAAAAATATAGCCTACCGCAACTTTTGTAAAGTTCCCTGTGCCACCGGGCAGCTGCAGCAGAGACGATCTCTGAAAAATGTCCGTGACACGGACTTCATTGTTGTCTGGAAGTTTTTTTTTTCCCAAGTTAAGAAAAGAGGCGGACGTGTTTCCTAAATCCTGCATCAGTCCAAGCAAGGCAACTTCTTTCTGTTTTTATTCCGTTTTAGTAGCCATTAGCACTGTGCATTGTTGTGTGCGTCAGTGATATTCAGTCTACGAGGAAGTCATGCGATGACAAAGGTTCCGCCGTGCTTGAAATGCAAGCTGCGATTAAATGCGTTAATTTTTTTTACGCGTTATTTTTTTCTAATTAATTAATCGTAATTAACGCGTTAAAGTCCCGGCCCTAATATATATATATATATATATATATATATATATATATATATATATATATATATATATATATATACATATATACACATATATATCCCCTATGAAATGAAACCATCACGAACTAAAGAGCAATTTGAATTTGAAGTATCTGGCTGTCTTTTGTTTGACTGTCTTATCTTTTATAGACAATAGCATTCCTGTAAATGTAGCAGAAGTGACCAAAAGCATTGCTTTGATGAAGAGCAGTTTCATTTGTCTGGTGGTTCAGATGTGAGAGAGTTAGATGAAAGCGTGGTCTCCTCCCAGCTCTGATGAGATTAGAAAAGTGCTAAGGAGCTCCGGGGGAGGCAGAGAGCAGCACTGAGGCCGAGGAGAGGAGACAGGTGGGCGCTCCTGCAGGAGAGGACTGTCCATGCTTTGAGCAGCAAGAGGAGGAGGTTTGTCACGAGGAAAATGATTTGATTTATTTCATCTCCGCTGTTCTAGAGAGGTTTTCAGCTCACAATACAAACATGAACAGTAAAATTGAAACGTCTCTGATGTGCTATGGATATTTCTGCCACAGTAACCCTAATCCCCCTGCCAGTGTGTTGAGTTGTTTCCTGACCATCACATTTATTGCTTCAGACTGCTAACTCGTTTGTTAAATGCTGATGTGGTGAGTGTGCTGTAATTCTCTGTGTTGAATGAGATTAGGATTAATCCTACTCTGTCTCTCCTTCAGTGAGGCATGCCCAGTTGAAGCCAGAGTAAGAGCAGCTGACAGCAGGACTATGCGTTAAGGACTGGCTGTTGAATGATTAGCTGATTTGGGCCCACTGATCTTCTTCTCTGACTGTTGGAGGGATTTGTCCTGGCCATGGGGAGGAAGAAGATTCAGATCGCTCGGATTCTGGATGAGAGGAACCGACAGGTCAGTGTCTCCAGCCTCTTCTGTCTTCCCTACATCAGATCTCATTATGAGCAGTTTCCTGCACTAAAACATCTGTAGATGTGCTGCAGCAGTGCACAAGTTCCTCCTCTCTGCTGTTTCCTTTTAAAACACTAAGTATTGTTTTTGAATAAATCTGCTGAAAGTTTGTTTTACTTCAGGATCCAATTGAGCAATAAGTCAAGATTTTACCTGAGCCTAGTAAACCTTCTGATGTCTGGTCAGGTTATAGCAAAATGCAGCAGCCAGACTCCTAACCAAATCCAGCAGATGAGCTCACATCACCCCAGTTTTACGGTCCCTCCACTGGCTCCCGGTAGAATATAGAATACAGTTTAAAGTTTTAGTCCTGACCTATAGAGCTCTTAACAACCAGGCTCCAAGCTACCTATCTGAGCTTTTATCCCCACACACCACCTCTCGGAACCTTAGATCCACATCTGAAAACCTCCTGGCTGTTCCTCGAACCAGACTGAAAACCAAAGGGGACAGGGCCTTTCAGACTATTGCACCCAGACTTTGGAACAGTCTACCTTCAAATCTCCGTCTCTCTAACACTGTAGAGGTCTTTAAAAATCATCTAAAAACTCACCTTTTCATCCAGGCGTTCCCTCCCTAAATGTTTCAAAAAGATGGCTTTGTTCGGGTTCACACCTTCACTTTGTTTATAGTCATGATTTTATTTTCTACGTTTATCACTGCTATTGTTTTTTTGATGTTTTTATTGGTTAGAGGTATTTGCCCTGATCTTTATCATGTTGTACAGCGCTTTGTGATTTATATCTGTGAAAGGCGCTATATAAATAAACTTTTACTTACTTACTTCTAGCAGGCATTACTGCAGTCAGTGCTGAGATGATCACCTACTGAATAACTGATGTACTTCTCATTAACACGAGGACTTATCAAAGAAGGCATGTTTCCCTTCTTCGTCACCCCTCTCTGAGGGGCTAGCTGTAGCGTTTTTGCGTGGTTGATGGCATATCTCATGACCCTGCTAGATCTTAGATGTACATCCACGTAGGATTTGCTTCCTACATTTGAAGTGGAACCAAGCCAAGGTGCCTCACGCAGTTGATGATCACGATTAAACAAAAAAATAGCCCAAACGCACTCCCAGCTCTAATGGCTCAAACGAGGTCCTCAGCTAGTGTGTGGGATTTGTGCATAATGTTATTTTGAAGTTGTGAGCAACACGTCTGTAACTTTCATCATTTCTCTGCATTTCAGCCAACAAAAGCCCAAATATGATGCGATTTGTCCAGATGTTGACAGGTTTGATCTTTAGAGCCCATAGAGCCGTAAAGCTTCTCTCAACTTTAACGTTTGAGGACTCGGCTCACACAGCTGGTGATGAGGGCAGGACTTTAGGGTTTGGTGGATTCGGACAGTGCCCTGTCATTAGCGGGGCGGGTCAGCGTCAGGAACACACAGGGGCCTTCACTCCTCACGTCTCCATACGCAGCCACACGACTGCCCACTGGAATCCCGCGCTGTCTGTCTCCTCTACATATACCACCCCCAACAGCACAACAAATACCAGCCTGTCTGGAAGGAGGGAACAGGCTCTGGAAATAGGGATGTGGCAGGAATAGAAATATCTGGCCTGGTGTTTACTTTTGATGTTTGGATGTCTTGGCTCGAGCTGTTGTAGATGCAGACTGCTGTAACTGTGTACTGTCTTATATTTAGATGTTGGGCTCTAATTTTAGGAAGTTACCTTGTGGTCATGTTGCATCTGTCAACCACAGCAGCTGTTTTTAGGAATTGGTTTGCTTTTTACATTTTGTCTCTGGTATACAGAACAAGATCTCTGTATGTGGAGATAGAAGAGCGAAATGCCAGCTTCTCAGGGGGTTCTCTACAAGGGGACATTTCAAACCTTTTTTAAACAAGTTATAATCGTTCTGTGGTCCATAACAAACATGATCATGAAGTTATTTTCACTAATTCCCTCTCATGGTTTCAGCAGTTTCAGTACCTTCCAGAATGAGCCGTTTAAGGACTCTGCCGCTCTGTCAGGATGCTTCTTAATTGCTGACAGGTGAGGAAGGTTATGCCAATTCTTCCTATTGTGATGTCACAACAAGGAACTTTTTCAAATGGCTCATTTTAGGCACATAAATCCATAAAGCCAACCCAGACATAAAACAGAGGGATGGCTTTTATTCACAGTTAGATGGTTTATAGAAGCAGTAGAGGCCCAAGGCAGTGCCAAAGGTGAGTTTTGCATTCAGGTATCCTAATTACTGGGGTCAATACTTCATCTGAGATGTGAAAATAAAGAGAACAATAGGTCATTTTTATGTGGTGAGAATGATATGAATCTTTTAGTCTTAAGTCAGAGGTGTTCATTTCCGGGCCTGGGGGTTCGGTGTCCTCCATGTTTTAGTTTTAATTCTGCTTCAACGCACCTGATTTCATTCAGTAGGTGATTAACATGCTTTTGCAGAGCCTGATGAACTGCTGCACAGGTGAATCATAATTGATTCAGACCTGAGCTTCACTGGTCACATCAAGGCTCTGACTAGATCAGTGTTTTATCATCCTAATTCATTCATTTCATTTTATTTATTTATTGATAGAGCACTTTCCTGCTGCCAGCCAAGGCAGCCCAAAGCACTGAATACAGCAGCGTAAAAACAACAAGCATTTAAAATAATAAGGGATACATCATAAGGAGTAAAACGGACTACACATTAATTCATGTTGGTGCCAAAGCAATAAAATCATAGATAAAATCTTAATTTAGCTAAAAACTACATGCAAACAAGGACTAAAAACCAGGCACATCAGTTAAACCAATCAGATCAGAGGCCTAACGGGCTGCTGTGAGTCTGTAGTGCATTTTTTATTTAGCTTTAAAAGCCCCAAGTGAAGTTGTGAGTTTTAATTCCAGTGGAAGGCCATATTTTGGGTCAAAAGCAATAAAAGCTTGATCTCCGCGACTCTTATGTTTGGTTCGTGGAACAATCAGTAGGTTGTTGGCAGTGGAGCGCAGTGATCTTGAGGGGGCGTGTTTCTGCAGTAGTGACGATAGGTAAGGCGGCGCAGTCCCTGCTAGTGACTTTAATGTAAATACCAGAATCTTGACCTCAATGCATCAGCAAATAGCACGACTCAGAGGTCTCATGTCCAGAGAAGACCTAGAGAAACCCATTCATGTGTTCATCAGCAGGCTGGACTATTGCAGTGGTCTTTTGACTGGTCTTCCCTAAAAAGCTGTGAAGAAACTGCAGCAGCTAGAGTCTTAACAAGAACCAGGAGAACAGAGCACATCACTCCTGTTCTTAAATCTCTACTGGTTACCAGTGAACTGCAGAATCAATTTCAAAGTACTTCACTAGTTTATAAATAACTCAATGACATGGGGCCAGAATACATGTCAGGTACACACGCCCAGCGGGGCTCTGAGATCCTTCGGAAGCGGTCAGCTGTTAGAACCTCGGGTCAGAACCAAACAGGGTGAAGCTGCTTTTAGCTACTGTGCTGCACACAGATGGAATCAGCTTCCTCGTGACCTCAAACGTGCCCCAACACTAGACACTTTTAAATCAAAATTGAGAATCTTCGTGTTTTTATCAGCCTTTGAATGAATGTCCTAATGCTGCACCTTCTGCACTGTATTTGCTCATCCCTTAACTTTGTTTCTTTTTCATTTAAAAATTGGAGTTTCTGTCACGTTGATTTGATTGTTCTTGCTAATGGAAAGCACATCGAATAGCTTCTGTGTATGAAATGTGCTATATAAGTGAAACTGCCTTGACTTGAATCAAGTGTGTTGAATCAGAGAAACCACTGAAATGTCCTGGATCCCAGACCTCAGGGACCAGAACTGAATACCCCTGCTCTAAATGTTAGGGCTGAACCTTTGACCCATATCTGATTTTATCTTCAATCAAACCCAAGTTAGTTTTTTCCCCTGGTCCTAGGTCAGATCTGGTGCTTTTATTAGTAACCTCATCAGACTTTTACCTGTCTAAAGTGTGAGATAGCTCTGCTCTGGAGGGCAGGAGACAGCCAGATCTGATTAAAAACATTATAAGTGACACACACACACACACACACACACACACACACACACACACACACACACACACACACACACACACACACACACACACACACACACACACAACTAGCATGCGTAGCATCCGTCTGTAAGCACAGAGGGCTGTGGGTGATGTCATGTCTGGTTCTCACTTCAGGGTCTGAATCAGATCTCAGCAGAGAGATCAGAATGCAGCCTTACGATCTGCAGCATGGACGTGTGTAAATGTGGTTAACCCTCTCAGGCTCAAAATAAGTTTTGATAAAAGGACGAACAACCGAGTCCTTCAGGGGTACTTCTGAGTGAAACAATGCTCATGAAGAACAGTAACCAGGTAGGTAAGTTTTAACGTTGTAAACCTGCAACACCTGCCTCCAGAGGGTTAACAGTGATGCAGCCAGGAGGCTTTAAACACTAGTTTTCTCTGAGCAGATTCTGTGGTGTTCTTGAATGATCCCATAAACACCTCCAATGCAAACACATCCTGAGCCTAAATGAGACACTCTGACTGAGCCAGTGAAAACCTCAACACGTTACACAGAATCCTGCACTGGCTCGGATTTCTGTTGGCCTCAGACTTTGCATTTATCTACTCAGTTGTGCAGGTTAAAATAATCACCTACAACAGGCTGATGTGTTCAGCTGCTTGTTGCTGGAATATGAGACGAGTTGTAATGGTGGTACATCTCCAGTAAGGTGGGATGAGACTGTAGGAGATCACATCATCATTATGAAATGTGAGCTGAAACATCTTCACTAACGTTCATTAATGGACTGTAACAGACATTTTGGAAACAGAATCAGTGGTAGCAAGAATAAGTTGGTTCACCACAGCTGGGAGGAAGCTGCTTAAATTATCACAGAGAATTATATCTTTATGGATTTATTGTATTTGTCAACAGCACATAAAGCACATTGTATCTCACTGATA